TTGTAAATACTATGGGATATGAGCATAGCACCACACAGTTTGTCCTCATAAGCAAGGTTATAGACATTTATACATGGTGCGCATTGCATTAACTATCATACTCACGACCTAGTGGTCCGAGCAAACACAGCACCATAGTGTGACATCACTGGGGTCTCTTTCCATGTGCAAGCTTCAGTTTAGACTACCTGCCCCATTTTTCTATTTTTTTTTTTTTTTTCAGACTATGAACTAGGCTATGTTGCCAATTATTTATGTGCATATAAGTACTGAATACATTGAATTACAAAGATACCTACTAACTCGGAACAAATGTCCATCTGGTAATGTTTTTGATCAATGATTTATCTTTGCTTGTTTTTCTTTTAATTAGTGTATGACGTTTTAAGGGACTCTTTTAAGATATTTATTGACATAAGGACGTTATTGTAGCGTTACTTACCTTATCCAGGGGCCGGCCTCGGTCCTCTCTTCGAGCCGCGCGCGGTCCTGCTGCTGCACGAGCCGCGCGCGGCTCATCCGACGGCTTCAATAGGAAGGCAGGCAGTGACCGCGAGAAGCGGTCACGTGTCCCGCCTGAATCTAAGAGCACGCCGCGAGTCTCGGGCGCGCTCTTAAAGAGACAGTGGGAGCCTAAATTGTAAAAAGGCTCCCATTGGCCCCTGTCATGCCACACTCCCCATACACTTACCTTTTGGGGGTGTGGATATGACAGGAGCCAATCACATTAGTTTAGAAGCTATTTAAACTTACCTCTCCCTTTACTCCCTGCCCTATCGTGGTTTCTGTTTCAGTTCCCTTTAGCGCTTGTTGTGTTCAGTTGTGTTTTCTTCGTATTGACTTTGGCTTTGTTTCTGACTATGTTTTCTCTTTATCCTTATCTGTTCTGGTTGCCGGCTTGCTGTTTACTGTGTACCAGACCCCGGCTAGTCCTAGTTTACGCTGTCTCTCTGTGCCCTTGACTTCGGATCGTTCCTGACTCTGTCTCCTCTCATATACGTCAAGTCCGGCCATTCTAAGGTCCGGTAGACGTATCTCTCCTCTGTGTTGTCTTCTGTTTAGCTGAATCCTGCGTGTTGGGGTATATTCTCATTACAGTTATATTGAGAATTTTAATCTGGATCGTAACACCTCACATATATAAGGCGAGGAGAAGTGGGAAGATACACAGCATGTTTGACAAAACCCTGAAAAGAGGGGCGAAACGCATCATGGATCAGGAACCAGGAAGTGAATTGAATAGACGGAGAACAGCGATGTTAAGGACTCTTTACACACTATAAGCTAACTCCATTCATTGCGAAGGGCTGGTGAGCTGATGGTGGATTCCATATTTCTGCATTTGTTTTTATTACATTGTTCAAATAAAGAATATACTTACCTGACATCCAGGTCGCTAGTGCATCCTATGGATCCCACGCACGCCAGGGGCTGATCCTCCCTGAATGATATAGCTACGAGTGGTGCTTTAACCACTCTGATTTTGTGAGTGAGATACCTAAAGACCTATATAATTTTAATATTTTAAATACTTTTACTGTGTTGCACTAGGAGTTCTCTCTCTTTTTTTTTGCCTCCTACCCAGATACCTGTGTTGCTACTTTGCAAGTATATGCATATGTCACTTTTTAGATGTTTCACAATCGCACCAATTGATGGCTTTAAAGTCACCTAGATTGCACCTAGGTTTGAGACACGCATGCTTCCCGTTATTTGCATATAATATTCTATAAAGTTTTATTGTTTCCTTTTATTTAAAAAATCCACAGAGAGAGGTCTTGATTGACTGTGCACCATCACTTTTATGTTTTGTATCCCCTTATATTTGTTTACTATTGTGGTTATCTTTGTCTGACTGTGGAATAAATAAAGAATGAAAAAACAAAACAAAATTTAAACTATGTATATAAGCCACATTCCATTAAAGTACATTTAATAGGTTCTGGATTTAATTGAACCATTTTTACAATGGTTGATATAAAAATAGATGAAAATAAAAATTATTATTATAATAATTGCCATTTATATAGCGCCAACAGATTCCATAGCGCTTTACAATATTATGAGACTGGGGATTTAACTATAAATAGGGCAATTACAAGAAGACTTACAGGAATGATAGGTTGAAGTGGACCCTGCTCAAACGAGCTTACAGTCTATAGGAGGTGGGGTATAAAACACATTAGGACAGGTAGACACTTTTGTCATATTGATATATTATAAGAACAGAGCACTAAGATCTCTCAGTTTCATGCACAAAATTTTTTTTTCTTGTGCTTGCCCCCCAGGCCAAGAAAAGGCAAATCATCCATGCTGGGAGGGGAGCAGATACTTACTTAGGTTGTCCCTCTTCAGTGATACATCTTCACAGGCAGTGGCGTACATACCAGGGTCGCAGTGGTCGCGGCTGCGACCGGGCCTGGCCCACCAGGGGGCCCGGCCGCCCCTGCGACCCGGTATGTATCCACAGGGCCCAGGAGCCGGCCACCTCAGGGCCCTCTCCCCCCCCCCCGAGGCTGGCCCTGCTGACCCCGGCGGGCGGGCTGGCTGTCTGGGTGGCCGGCGCGCGAGGGAGCACTCTCCCCTCGGTGCCTCCTCTTCAGCTCCCTTGCGCGCCACGTAGGGATGCTGGCGCCGGAAGATGATGTCATCTTTTGGCTCCGGTATCAGTGCAGTGTGCGAGGGAGCTGAAGAGTAAGCGCGGGGGGGGGGGGCACGGATCAATTTTCGCACCGAGGCCCCATGGGTCATGTTTTCTAGGCCACTGTTTACAGGCCTGCCAAATGTCCTGATTTCAGGTTCCTGTCCTGCCATTCCAGCTTTGTTCCCTTAAAGGGATACTATAGTCACCAGAACAACTACAGCTTATTGAATTTGTTCTGGTGAGTAGAATCATTACCGTCAGGCTTTTTGCTGTAAACACTCTCTTTTCAGACAAAAAGCAGTGTTTACATTACAGCCTAGTGATAACCTCACTGGCCACTCCTCAGATAGCTGTTAGAGATCCTTCCTGGGTCATGGCTGCCTAAAATACATCCAAACATTCAGTGTCTCCTCCCTCTGCATGCAGACACTGAACTTTCCTCATAGAGACTCATTGATTCAATTCATCTCTATTAGGAGATGCTGATTGGCCAGGGCTGTGTTTAAATCATGCTGGTGTTATGGATAGAAATTAATGTAGGTAAAATGTCTATTTACTATGTATACCTGTATTCAGTATTTACTCAAAATGGCTGCTAGAGCACCCCCTCCCATCGACCAAACACCTTGAGTAACAAGATGGCGTCTCCATCTGGAGTAAAATCCCGAGATGATGGTGACATCACACTTTGGAGGAAGTGCATTAGATAAGACACTTAACACTTGACCAAGTAAAGATGTATACTTTCTGTTATCTCGTGTTTTGCATATGATGTATTTTCTGCTTTATAAGGGGTCTGCCGCCCCTCTGAGTAAACATTCTGAAGTTTTTCATTAACCTGAATATTGTGTCTTAGTGTGATTTACTTCCGCATGCCCGCATCTTATCTCAAACAATCTGGACAGGGGCAGATACTCAAACAAACACTTGGTTTGGTCCAGAAAACTGTCTCTGCCCCTGATCTGCCTCTTTGTTAGTCTCAGCCAATCCTATGGGGAAGCATTGTAATTGGATCAGGCTACCACTTCTGATGTCAGCAGACTGCTTGTTTTTCTGAGACAAACAGTATGCAGAGTTACAGCTTCAGGCTTGAATACAGTAAGATTTTGCTATATTTATGAAGGCATGAGGGGCCCAGAGGGGCTAGATTGTTGTTTTAACACAGTAGGGTCAGGAATACATGTGTGTGTTGGTGACCCTATAGTGGTCCTTTAATTTTCTCCTTTGGGGCCACAAAAAGTATAGCACAAGCGCATCATAAGATTTGCTTGCGCTATGCTCAGTGCATTAGGACTCTGCAGAGAATACTGAAACAGTGGGCTGGGCATAGATGAATGACAAGCAGCGTGGTGTGCAATCCCACCAGACTGCCAATTCTTCAGGTAGATCCACCACCTTTGGGTGACACTAGTGATGCTATACTTGATATTGGGCTGCCCCTTTTTATCCCACCCATCAGCATCTCCTGGGATGCTGATGTTAGTAGGTATGTATTCTCTCATCACTCTTCAGTTCCTGGCAACTTCGTCAGCTAAGGACTGTCACCACTTGCTTATTTACAGAGCATGATGTGAAATAGAGATATCTTAAATCATACTGCCCAACATTTCAAATGGATAAAGAAGGGACAGAAATTGACAGAGTAATAAGAAAATATGGAACTAAACTGTATTTTAGAACAAGAACAATGTATCTTATTTACACAGGCTGATTCCTAACACATTTATTGTAGGTTAAAGACACATTACTGGGAGTATTGCTCTGGAGCTCTGGTATACACTCAGATACACCAAAAATATGGAGTTTTTAGAAAATAGGGACACTATATCAGCGCAAAGAGGGACAAAGGAATGCACCCAAAATAACTGTCCCTCCTAAATAGATACACTTGGTTGGTATGTCTTAAATATATTGTTTTTCGCATGTGCAATTAAGTCCCATATGGATCTGTTAGTCATTGCCCCAGATAATGCCTGTTCCCAGTTGGCTGATGAAAAATAGCAGCACAAACTCCACCTTTTGCCAAAGATCAGCAATGACATTGGGCAAAATGATCTGTATTTTGTCTAATGTATATCTTTTGACTGTGGTGGGATTTCAAAGCAATTACAACACAATTAAAGAGAGCTTCATGATAAAGACTCTATCTGATTCTATTGACAGAGCTGCTTTAAGAAACCCTGCTAAAGGCTACAGCTTGCCTTTTTTTGTATTTTGACCCAGTAAAGCCTCCGTCAGTATGCTCTCTCGTAGAGCTATACTTCACTTGTTGTTGTTAGAGAAGCCATTTTCCCGGAGACCATTGCCTTCGCATTCATTTGCATCTACCAATTCCTATTTGTGCCCACAGCAGTCTCTAGTGTTTAGCCCTCTCACAGCGATTGTCCTTTCTCGGACACTGTAGTTGAAAGCGCCTGCGTGTTGAGGCCGGTGGAGCGGGCAAAGATGGCGGCTCTCGGTGCCCGCTTAGTGACAGCAGTGACCCGCAGCTCCCTGTTGGGGGCTGGTAACAAGGCTGGGGCCAGCTCCGTGTTGTGTAATGTCGGTTTAAGACATGGTGAGTGGAGCGTTGCATGCTGGGAACGGATATATCTCTTGGACCTTTAAGTAACCGCTTCAGAACATGGAATGTCACCTTCACATGAAAGGCATCATACAGCCCATATGATCTGCAGGGACCTGTGCTGTTATTAGAAGTGATTCTGCAGACAATGGGGGATGACCTCTCATACCAAGCTCAGTTATTGTGACACTTGCATTCTGTTACCAGCTAGCATGCTACAATTCTCTCTGACAAAACTTTTTATATCATGTACCAGGCCAAATGTGACATTCTATGACCTATTAGAGCTTGATAGACTAAATGTGGAAGGGTTATAACAGCAAGTCTTCATATTCAGGTAGTGAGGTTTATGATAACTTATCTGGAAAGCAGAATACAAATACATCTCTTAAAGGATCACTCTAGGCACCCAGACCACTTCAGCTTAATGAAGTGGTCTGGGTGCCAGGTCCCTCTAGGATGAACCCTTTTCTTTATAAACATAGCAGTTTCAGAGAAACTGCTATGTTTATAATAGGGTTAATCCAGTCTCTAAAGTCTCTAGTGGCTTGTCTCATTGACAGCTGCTAGAGGCGTTTGCATGCTTCTCACTGTGAAAATCACAGTGAGAAGATGCCAGCGTCCATAGGAAAGCATTATGAATGCTTTCCTATGAGACTGGCTGAATGTGCGTGCAGCTCCTGCCGCGCATGCACATTCAGCCGAAGAGGAGGAGGAGAGCTCCCCGTCTGGCGCTGGGAAAAAAAGTAAGATTTAACCCTTTCCTCGCCGTCCAGCCCGGTGGGAGTGGGATCCTGAGGGTGGGGGCACCCTCAGGGCACTATAGTGCCAGGCAAACGAGTATGTTTTCCTGGCACTATAGTGGTCCTTTAAGTGATGCTGCATGTGTGGAAATCTGCGTTATGTGATATAACTTCCAGTTATATTGTCATTATTCTATTCTAATGCAGTTTTCTTAAACATTTTGATATGTCTCTGTCTCAAACTTGAACCTTGCTTTCTTCTTTAATTTGAAAACATTCTGTTCCATTCTGAAATATACAGGGTTATTTACTAAAGTGAAAATTCAAAGAGAAATTTAAATTGGTTGACAGGAAAGCTGACTTAGAGATTTTTTCTAGTTTGGCTATTGAATGCATCTGTATTAGGAGATGTTGATTGCCCAGGGTGGCATTTGGCTTTGCCCCCTCCATTGATTCTGATTATGTCGGCCAATGAGGCGGATTGGGGGGGGTTCCAGACGCGAGCAGCCCTGCGCAGCACTGGAAAAAGGTGAGTAAATCACCTTGCTGACCTGTGGTAAGGAGGGCAGACCATCTAAACGGTGGTTTTAGACCTTTAGTGTCAGGAATACACGTTTGTGTTCCAGACACTATAGTGCCCCTTTAAAGGGACACTATAGTCGCCTGAACAACTTCAGCTTAATGGGGTTGTTCAGGTGAGTACAATACTTCCCTTCAGCCCTTTTCATGTCAACACTGTATTTTCTGGAAAATACAGTGTTTACTTTGGAAGCTAGGAACACCACCAGTGGCAGTCACTCAGACGACCACTAGAGGGACTTCTAAGTAAACTGCTGCCTAATTCGCATTCATCACATTTGACATCTTCACGCTTGGCTGAAGACATCAAACGTGCTAACAGGACACAGGAGGTACTATGAATGCGCCTCCTGTGTCCTGTAGTATCCGGGAGCCTGTGAGCAATCAGAGCCGACAGTGTGGGAGATAAGGACCGTAGGCTCGGGCTGACCGGCTGAAGGCAGGAGGATCTGACTTCAAACAGTAAACTTATTTTAGAGCGTGAGGATATAGAGATAGATGGATAGAGTGTATGTTTCACCCATTAAGGCGGCGTGCGTGCTATGCAGTACCTGGGGACCCATCTCTAAACGCCGGCAGGCCACATAGCACATCCATGTCATCCTATGCACTTACCTGCTCACCGGCGATCGCGATGGGGGGACTTACCTGGCATCCCAGGGAGTCCCCCTGCATCTGATCCGGCCCTCCTGGGCCATGTGATCGCGAGGTCCTTGCGAGGACTTCACGATCACATGGACGGAATAACCGTTCATAGCACTGCCAGCAGGGGGAATGCATGAAATAAAGTTAAAACACAGATTAAAATTAAATAATATATACTTAGGATATACATACATACATACATACATACATACATACACACACACACACACACACACACACACACACACACACACACACTGTCTAAGTGTATTTTAATATATATATTGATATCAAAATACACTTAGAACAACCCAAGGTATTGCAAATGGGGTATGTCCAGTCTTTTATAGTAGCCACTTAGTCACAAACACTGGCCATAATTGGCTTTCAAATTAGTTTTTTGCATTTTTCATACACAAACAAATGTGAACGCTAACTTTGGCCAGTGTTTGTGACTAAGTGGCTACTAAGAAAGACTGGACATACCCCATTTGCAATACCTTGGGTTGTCTACTTTCGCAAATGGTATGCCATCATGGGGGTAATTCTCATTCCTAGGCTACCATACGGTCTCAAAGGCAATGTAACCAATCTGGCGAATTTAAATGTGAAAAAAATGAAAAATTTAACATGCCATATTTGACCCTGTAACTTCCCAAAACACCATAAAACCTTTACATAGGGCGTACTGTTTTACACTGGAGACATCGCTGAATAGAAATATGTGTATTTTATTGCAGTAAAAGCAAACAGCATTATGACATTCACAGTTAAAATGTCATGCAGAACTAAAAATATTAACCAAATTTCTTAAAGGACCAGTATAGTGCCAGGTAAACATACTAGTTTTCCTGGCACTATAGTGCCCTTAGGGTGCTCCCACCCTCAGGGTCACACTCCCGTGGCGCTGAAGGGGGAGGAAGGGGTTAATCCCTTACCCTTTTCCCACGGAGCTGGGACTCTCCTCCCTCTTCTTCCGCCATCGGCTGAATGCGCGCGCCTTCAGCCCGTCTCATAGGAAAGCATCACAGTGAGAAGCGCGGAAGTCTCTGAAACTGCTGTGTTTACTGCAAAAAGGATTAAACCTAGCTGGACCTGGCACCCAGACCACTTCATTAGGCTGAAGTGGTCTGGGTGCCTATAGTGGTCCTTTAATTTCTCAATTATTTTTTTTTAATATATTTTATTCATATTAAATTATGTTTAATAGCTAAATATGAAGCCCTGTTTCTCCTAAGTAAAATGTTATATAATAAGTGTGGGTGCACTTAATATGAAAGAGGTGAATTATGGTTGAACGGAAATATAGTCAAATTCCAAGTTTTGTTCACGTTTTATTTTGATCAAAATGTGTACATTTGGTTCAGTCCTTAAGGGGTTAACAATATTTATTTACAATGTATGTGTTTGTATACAAACATCATATATAGAGATATCTGTTTATATAGTGGATAGAGAGAAAGATAGGGAGTGTGTGTCAGGTTGCCACTGATGAATGGGGGGTAACACCTGTAGGAAACATAAATACAAAAGTGAACAAAAAAGGTTAGGTCATAGGTCTAGATCTAACCTTTAGTTTGGAGCATCCCTTATGGACTAATGTCTATTAAAACTTAACTAAACATGCTTAGTAGAAGGGGAGAAGGGATTTTAGCGCTAGAAAGTACTAGCTAAAGTAGTTATAGTACCTCTCTCGGAAGAGCAGGTACTCGGCAAAACGCGCGTCGGGAAATTTAGAGCAGTGGGTGGCAGAGGTTGATAGGGAACGATGCTGTAGCTTTTTACTCTCCTAGATTAGCCAGCTTGCTATTGTTTTTACCTACTGTATTTAGAATGGATATGTAGTTAGTCAGTTTCGGCTAAACTTCTAGCATTAGGGGAAAGGGTATTGACACTACTTTGGCACTGGGTGATGGGAGTTGGAGACATATCTATTCAATTTTCACTATTTGGTTGTTTGCACTTTAGACCACTTTATTATTATCATCCCCTCATGCCGTAGGTACTATAACTACTTTAGTACTTTCTAGCGCTAACATCCCTTCCCCCCTTCTACTGAGCATGTTTATGCAGCAATTTTAGTTAAGTTTTATTAAAAGTTATGTTTTAATATATATTAGTCCATAAGGTTTGCTCCAAACTAAAGGTTCGATCTGGAATTCTCTAGACCTATGTATCTGTGACCTAACCTTCTTTGTTCACTTTTGTATTTCTGTTTATATAGTGATTGCATACCAACTTTTGGCTTAGGGGGGTTGTGGTAAGAGGGGGGTGGGCATAGAGAGCAAGCTGAGCTGTCAGCTCGTGAACGCGCACATGCGTGGTAGAGTGCTCAGCGTTCATTCATAGGGCAGCATTTAATGCTGCTCTATGAAGAACCCAATTGGCGCAGCGCGAAGTCGCGCATGTGCACCAGATCGCTATGACGCTTCTCTAAGATTGAGCCCTGCTATTTCCTCATTTTGACGAAAAAGGGGGCGCGGCCTGCCAAGGATCTAGGCGCTGAAACGGAGGTAAGATTATATGATAAAAAGCACTCAGATTTTTTTAATGACAAACTAATATAAAAGCAAGAAAGAAGGCTAGGGGACCTGTCTTTCTTGCTTTTATATGCTGACTATAGTGGTCCTTTAATATGCAAGATTTGCCTGTTATATCTTTATCATTATTTTTTTTAACATTACAATATTCAATTGTGTTCTTGCCCTGTTAAATCTTATGTTATCTCCTTTTCTTTGTGATTTATGATGTCCCGAAGAAAATGTGATCTATATTGCTGTAATAAGATAGGCTACATGAAATACAGAATTCATCTTTATTTTCAAATGTAATCACATAGCTGTTGCATTTGTACTGTTCAGTCTTAAAATGTTAAAATATTTTTTTTGTTCGTTTAGCATCTGGAGTTTCTAAGAGTGGCTTGCCAGGGTCATACCCTAAAACACCAGAGGAGAGAGCAGCTGCAGCCAAGAAATACAACATGAGAGTTGAGGACTATGAACCTTATCCAGACGATGGCATGGGGTGAGATATTTACTCAGCTAATTTCCCCCATGTGGCGGTATACCCTCGAGTAGTTGGGTTGCTACCGTTTAGGTTGTCCCTTACCAGTGGGTATAGTTCCAGAGTGATTATGCTCTCCTGCAAGAAGTACCGCTGGTTCACCCAAATACTAGCCCAGACTTAGTGAAGGGTGAAAAACTAATTTTATTAAACAAAGCACACAGATTGATACCCAGACCCCCAGTCTGGGGTTCCATTCATTGTGACATAAGCCCGCCCAGGCGCCTCTGTCTCTGGGAGATAATTGAGTCAGCTCTCTGTTAAACTCATTATCTCCCGGATACAGAGAGCTTAACACAGAAAACACACCCCCAAAACACACACAATATAGTCACCCGCACATTATTTATAATTAATGGGATTCTCCAGTGCCAGGAAAACAAACCCGTTTGCCTGGCACTAGAGGATCCTGGAGTGCCCCCCTCCCTACCTGCCCCATCCTACATCGCTGAAGGGGTTAAAACCCCTTTAGACACTTACCTGAATCCAGCGCCAATGTCCCTTGGCGCTGGGTCAGGCTCCGCCGGCGGGGAAGAACTAATGCGCGTGAATTCCAGCGTTTTTTGGTTTTAGATTAGGACAGAATCTATGCAAATAATTCATAAGTGTTTTACATAGTTAAATAGATACATAGCTGAAAAGAGACTTGCGTCCATCAATTTCAGATATGTTTACATATGTTTTTGCTGTTGATCCAAAAGAAGGCAAAAAACCCAGTCTGAAGCGCTTCCAATTTTGCAACAAACTAGGAGAAAATTCCTTCTTGACCACAAAATAGCAGTCAGATGTCTCCTTGAATCAAGCAGATATTACCACACTAATTAGAAATTATATCCCTGTATGTTATGTTTTTACAAGTATTTTTCCAATTGTTGCTTAAACATCTATATGGACTCTGATAAAACAACCTTTTCAGGCTGAGAATTCCACATCCTTATAGTTCTTACTATAAAAAAATATTTTGCTTGCCTTAGATTAAATTTCCTTTCTTCCAGCCTAAATGCGTGACGTTGTGTCCTATGTATAGCCCTGTTTATGAATAGATTTTCATATAATGGTTTGTACTGGCCCCGAATATATTTGTATAATATCATTTTAACTGATCTCATTAATTGGTTTATTGAGCAAACTATGTGAGCACAGAGGAGAATAGCCAGATGTGTTTAAACTTTAAACATGGCAACAGTTACTGAATTACAAGTGGATTTCACATTTTTAGGGTAAGTAAGAGCATTGAAAACATGTTATTTCCATAAATTGGCCAGTTTTTATCTAAAGCTTATAATTCAATTTGAATTTTTTTTTATTTTTTTTTAATAATTCTTTATTTTTGTGGGTATGCAGGAGTTAAACACGTTTTACATCATGTGCTGAAAGAAGTAACATTTACAAAATACATTTGAGGTAAACATCATATAACAAATATAATTGCACAGGTACTATGCCACCCGATTTTTATTAGGTTGAACACTGCTTTACTCCCTCATCCCTCAAGACATGCGATATCACGGAGGGGCTGGTAGGAAGCGTTATGTGCCCTGCTTAGGAATGTTGGGGCTCTAGCCTTAACTTAGGCACGTGTACAAGAGGGTAGGGGAGCGTGGTTATTATGGCCATCGGTCGTTTAAAGGTTTGGTGTGGGCCCTCACTTAACAAACGGAGTGCTTTGCAATTCACCTCTCCCCTGGTGGGGGGCCTAGAAGTAGAGATTTGGGTCCCTGCACGTGCTTTGTGTTAAGGGGTGGGGGTAACTCGGCTTAACCAGAATTGTTGGTCGTCTGCTAGCGGAGCCAGAGTCGTGAGTGTGTCTAATACTCTGTAACATTTATAAACTGAAAAACCTAAAAGATTAAAAAAAAAGAACAAAACCAAATGGCAAAATACTTATAAAGTAAGTATAAAGACCAGGTAGATATCGCATATATAAAGTGTCCAGTATCTAGTCCTTTAGTATGGGACTTATAGGACAGTGTAAAGGTGCACTTGCATGTGCGGTTGCTTTTCTCATGTTAACGAATCCGTCGTCCTTGGCACTGTTCCTCTGGGCACAAAAGGGGTTATTTCGTTGATGTTCCAAGATGGGCTGGCCCCTGTTGCTGCTGCAGGTAACGAGAGTCCCAGTGACTGGAGAAACTTAGGCGACTCGGATATGTGTGTCGGGTGGACCGTCTTGCCAGCGTGATCTCTTGTTAAGCGATGAGGGCCCCATTTATAGGGAATAGAGTTCTCCCGCAGTAGCAAGGTGATGTGGCGTAGGGATCTGCGCCAGGTAAGAGTGTGCCTTGAGAAGTCTCTGTAAAGAGTCAGTCTTGCTCCCTCAAATGTGACCGTAGGAGAGCCTCTCGCGGCTCCCATGAGAGCCCCCCGGTCTGAGTCCCGGACAAATTTAATCATCACGTCTCTTGATGCCTCCTGGGGAGCCTTGAGTGCTTTAGGGAGGCGAAAGCAGGTGTCAATCCCTACTTGCTTTGCTTGCTTGGGGATCAGTAAAGTTGCTATGAGCCACCTGCAATAGTGCGGTAGTTCTAGGTTAACCACTGATTCAGGAACTCCCCTGATCCGTAGGTTTCGGGCTTTAGCTTTGTCCTCCATTCCCGCTAGTTGGGCAGTCAGTGTTGCACATTGCTTTTGTAAAAGTCCCAGGGCTGCGTCCGTAGTCACCTGCGCTGCCCTTGCGCCCCCGAGGGACTCCTTAACGGAGACCACGAGGCTTAAAAGTGTGGAGATTTCCCCTCTGACGAGCGCCATGTCGGCGTCAAACATCGCCTTGATATTCAGTATCAGTGCCTTTGTCGGCTTTTGTGGGAGCTGCTGCGTCGCCTAGCTCTTTAGGCTGCTGGGATGTAGCATGTACCTTGCTAGGAGCGTGGAAGGAGTCTGGCATACTGTCATCGTCTGATGATTGTGAGTCGTAGGCCTCTGTCGGCGCCATCTTCCCGGACTCTTGCCGCTGTGCCGGGCGCATAAAAGTGCCAATATCTTTTGACCTCGAGCCAGGATCTGCTCTGCTCTTCTTTTTTTTTTTTCATAGTGTAGGGTGTTCTGGGGTTCTGTTTGTCAGGTCCGAATGGTTAATTTTGTCGCTAGGATATCCGTTTTATCGGGTCTCAAGCTCGGAGCTGTGGTGAGTTGCGACTTGCTCGCTTAGGCGCTGGCTCCGCCCCCTCAATTTGAATTCTTGACAATTCAAACCTTTTAAATGGTTGGGCTACAGCAACAGAAGTGCTGTGAGAAGTTCCACTTTTGTCTGCTAGAAAAGATAAAGAAGGCTACAGTGGGCACTGGTTCGCCAAAAGCTGGACAGTAGAATAATGGAAAAATGCCACTCGGTCTGATAAATCTCAATTTCTGTTGCAACATGCATATATGTTAGAATCAGAATTTTGGTGTAAACATGAATCGATGGTTCCAACCTGCATTGTGTCAAGAGTTCAGGCTGGTGTATATTAATAATATTACACATGCTCACCATTTTTTTTGACAATTGTAATGAATCATGGTTAATAATAACATTTGCAAATTCTGACTTGACAAGTTTCTGCTAAGTAAGTGTACACATTTACTGGTGCATAGCATATCGGTAACACTCAGAGTCTGCACATTATCTTGGACCTCTTTGCTCTAGTTAGTAATCTCTCAGACTCATCAGTGAATAAACTACCATGCATAAAGTTTCCAACTACTATATTCTTACTTATCCAATAGGTTTGGTGATTATCCCAAGCTTCCAGATAAATCTCAACAAGAAAGAGACCCTTGGTATCAGTGGGACCATCCTGATCTCAGGAGAAATTGGGGAGAGCCAGTAAGTGCAGACAGTGGATATTAAAATTAGCAGAACAAGAACTGTTAAAGATATTTGGAGATATTTCCAGAGATGTGAAGCTGTAACTTTTTTTAATGAGACAAGTTTGCAATTAAAAAAAAAAAAAAAAAGTTAAAGTATGAATGGTTTTGAAGTAGTTATTTCACCTTGGTAAAATAAAATTAAAAACATGCTATGCACCTTATTTTCTAAACTTTGAATTGCAGCAAATACAAATCTTAATGACAACATTTAGGCTATCAGGAAGTGGGAATAGAGAAATCTTCAACTCCGCAAGGTCGTCCCCCTTTTATGCTGTAAATAGTGCACTCCCCTTTCTGACAGGCTTCACAGTTGTAATGGCTACCATTTTGTTGCAGTTTTGAACCCAGACACAAGTTAGTATGCTCCTGTTGTGCACATGTCAGTGTGCCCACATATACACCTCGCATTCAGAGCCAGCCTTACAGGAGTCCCGGTGGGTCCGCTACTTCTGGAAACCTGAAGCAGCAGTATGCGGCACCTTTTCTCCTTCCTCATGGCCTTCTTCTAGTTAAAGTCCCCTATCATTGATGGGATAGTGGAGCTGGTCTGGGCACCTGCTATAGTTAGTTAAACACACCAGCTCTCGGGACTCTGGGGGGAGGAGAGGGCGCTATGATATCACAACTGTCATTCACACCAGGAGGCAGATTGGAAGTATAAAAGAAAAAATTGTATGTTGTGAGTGTATGTGACTGTGTATGAGTCTTCATGCGACTGTGTATAAATATGCAGTTGTGTGATGCTATATGTTAGCTATGTGACAGTATGTATGTAATTAAGTGGAGACATACACTGGAGGGGATTTTGGTCAAAAAGGGGGGAAGGAGGGCAGCACTATGTCCTGGGACCCAGAAAATACATTGTTCTGGACTTGCTCTGCATGCATCCAGAGTTTTTCATCCTCCTAGTGTTCAATCAGAACTACACAGAATTGAAGATCTGTCAGATCTAAAAGATTAATGTATTTCATTAATCTGTAAATTACAGTGTCAATAATCTAGGAACCTCAGAAAGATTTTGCACATGGGCACCATAACCGGGTCATGCAATAAAAAAAAAAAAAAAAATCCTTGTGCACTGGAGTTGTGCTGAGGAGAGTCCACACATGTACAAAATCTTTTAAGTCAACTTTTGCATAACATGAATAAATTAATAATGTCACATAATGTGACTCACAATGGCACTCACAGTTAGTGTAAAATCTTTAAATGAAGTGCTTTGAGCAAAAAAAAAAAATCTATGCAATGTAAATATAAGTGCAAGAGTATTAAACCAACAGTGCTTGGCATCTATGAATAAACTAACATTAAAACAGCAACAACAAAAATTGGTGTGCAAACTATTAAGTGTAGACTTATACACCTGGCAGATCAGTATATAAGTATACACTTAACTGGACACTTTTTTGTTGTTGTTGTTGTTAAATTGGTATATCATGCATGGACAATCTACGTAATTGAAGAGACCTGTCATTCGCACTTTACAGTTACAACAGACATGAAAACATTGTGCATGCACAAGAAGGTTAATTTGAGACTTTGTACTTGCACATAAGTTTAATGCCACTTACCAGACCTACTGAAATTGAGCTATTTGAATTCACCTTTTAAAATAACTGATAATCTGTGTTACTCTACTCTGAGCATTGACATTTTTTATTTTTATTTCTCTCTCTACCGCTTTTTATTTCTCAACATTATGTTTTACAATCCAGTTAGAATTGATATTGTTTCAGCTTCATAATATCACAGTTTCATCTCACCAACCTCCCTATTTTATTTATATTTAGATGCATTGGAACTTTGACATGTTCATCAGAAATCGTGTGGATACATCCCCCACGGCAGTGTCCTGGAACACAATGTGTAAACATCTATTTGGGTTTATAGGATTCATGCTATTCATGTTCTGGGTTGGAGAGAAATTTTCCTTCTATCCCCCTGTGGTACGTATACTATGGATCCATATGATAAATAATGTTTATCCTCTATATTATAGAGGATTGGTGTAATAATGATAGAACTGATCAATATCTTATTTTACCACTACATCTCCTCCATCTTTAATATCCTTGAAAACTGTTGTTTGCTAAAGTAGCATGCTGAAGACTTAGTAATCTAGATCTCTACATATCTGTTGATTTGTATGAAGTGGGATTAAGAGGAAGATCAATCAGTTTCTGTAAAAGAAAAAATTATCAGTTACTGGGAAGAAGCAAAGAAGTAATAGTTCAGCACATCATTTTGCAGCAATACCTTATTTTCAGTGCTTAGGGAAAGACAACATCATGACTGGAGGCAGAAACGTTGTCTTTCCCTATGCACTGAAAATAAAGGATTGCTGATTGCAAAAAGGTGTGCTGAACTATTGACTTGTGCCATACATGAGAATACAGATCCTAAGGTTACCTGCACCCTTCCAAAAGGTATATTTATTAAATATCAATGACAATTGACTGTAACTTATATCAAAGAAACACTTCAAGCACTAAACCCCACTGTATTGTTTATGGTGCCAGGAGTTCTCTGGTGCTGGGCCACAGTAAGTAGTAAAACTGAGTATGGTTTAACAACTTACCCCGGTTGCCCGCACCACATTCGATTTTTATCTTGAGAGAAAAGCTAGGTGTCTATAGAATAAACCACTAAAAACCAAACCAATCAAAGACCACACTAATCGGCTGAAAGCTGACACTGTAATGCAATGGCTGCAGTCCTGCATGGCCCTGCTTAGTTTTGTGCAGAAAAAGATTTCTCCTGGAGGTGCCAGCTAGGACCTAGGTAAGTTGTTGAACTTTACATAAAAGTGGTTCAACTTCTTACCTTGGGACAGGGCAGTCCTGGCACCAAAACCACTACAGCGGGCTGTAATGTTTATGCTGCGTGAAGTGTTTCTTTAAACTTTTTTTGCATCAGATGCTCCATTTATTTTATTTTTATTTTTGTCTAAATTTATATTAAGGATTTAGCAAATTAAGAACATAATGCAGTTCAGTCATGACAAAGCAAGGGTAAGCGTTCTCTGTATGCTTTGTCTATGCTACCTGTTGGGTGCAAAGGACAGAACTTGATGATAAACAGATTTTATTTTTTACATTTGACAAATATTTCTAAATATATGGGTAAGCAAGCATAATAGTAAAGATTCTGGGAAGTGGTAGTTCCCTTTTGATATATGATTATATATTTTGGGTAATACTGCCAAAAAAAATGACAGGAAATTCCTTTTGTATCATGACATTCTTTCTTTTTCCAGGCTCCTAAACAGTATCCATACAATAACCTGTACTTGGAGAGAGGAGGTGATCCATCTAAAGAGCCTGAAGAAGTAAAAAATTACGAGGTTTAATTGTTTCAATGGGTGTTGCCTGTGTTGGGCACTGTACAGATTGTTCTTTATTCAATAAAGAGGACCTTATCGAATATTTATAATATCCAGCAACAATGTCTTTATTTACTTAATTAAGTGAACTTTTTATATATATACATATATATATTTGTTTCTTTATCCCACTCCAGCAAGACAACATGAAATACAGTGTCAAAAGCATAATACATATGACAAAAAAAACAGCATTATACACAGGAGATCAAGTGAAGAGAGGGTTTTTGTAAAATTAGTGGCTCAAAAGTCTTGAAATCTCCCTAGATCCGTAAAGCATTGACCTCAATAACAGCCCACCCCACAGAGAAAATACTCCCACCCACTTAATGGAGAAGGCAACACAAACAGATATAGGTGGGGGAGGAGGAGGAATTTATTTCCCTCATAAACATAATTATAAAATGGACATGTATGAAAACAGAGGGGATGCTTAGGTGAGATCAAACTGGAAAGGAACTTGTATAGATCTATATCAGGAGAGCATCCCCAAGTAAAACAAAAGTTTTAAAAAATCAGCAACTGAAAAGAAAGCCAAAATGCATCAATGGAAGTGTGGTAGAGGCCTTGGGCTGCCAATCAAACTTGGTATGTCAAAATACCGCTGTATGGAGACAGTGTTCAAAGAGCCAGTCAGGTCACCACCAATGTAAATGAGAGGGTTGAGGGAAGAAAGAGAGGAGTGAATGCAGGGTTGCAAACAGACTAGCTGTGTATTCGTAGCAACTTCAGATTGCGCACATGGGTTTACAGATCTTTAAGGACTCTGCACCCTGTGAGTATTCCATTGGGAAAATAATCACCCTGGCAACTCTCCAATGGTAAGCAATGTCCCTGGATCGGAAGAGATCCTTGATCTTAAGGATCTACACCAGATGAGGCTATTCCATGTGAGATCTGGGAAAGTGAAAAGTCTAAACGTCAAATTGAACTGGGGTTTTCCCCCAAACTGCCATGAAGAATGGGGTCTGGTTGGTTTAAAAAGTGATTATAAGGTCCAATGTAGAAGCAGGGGCATTAGCCAGTTTAGGCAGATGAAACATGCAGTCCAGTTTTACCAATTAGGTAAAGTGTGGCAGTTCATCTGTGCCTACTGCCTCCGGAATTCCTTTGATTTTCAAGTTGTAACTGTTACGAATTTACCTGCACCAGGCACTCGCTGCTCCCCTTGTCCGGCCACGCAAGCCGAACATTTTGTGTGACCTGAACAGGGAATATAGTATACTTACCATTTGGCCCCGCAAAGAGCTCATTGTGCCGGCTGAAATTCACGTTTGCGGTTTCTTCCCTGTAATAATATAGACGCTGCCCACTTTTCATGTATTTAAATTGTGTAACATCGAGCCTGCCCTTAAAGTGACCACGTAATCTAGCAACCATATTCTATCAATTTGCAGACGCAGAGATGACGTGAACCAAATAGAAAGCCTATGTAAAGTTAATTTGGGCCCTTGTTCAAAGTGCACGTTATTTAACCTCTTTAGGACATGGATTTAAGCATATCTTATGACCCATGATAAGTCTGTCATGTCATCTCTCATGAAGGGGGTTTATATTTTGGTTAAAAAAAAAAATTAAGAAAATATAGTGAGTTTTTAATGGAAGTAAAGCTAAATTTATCTTGTCTATTTTCTTACTTTTTTGGGGGGTTTTAGCAATGATTTTTCCTTTTCTCTTATTTGCTGCAAAATCCAACCACAAATATTCGGTATTACCTGTAACCAATGGGGGGGAAAAAAACAGTAAAATTAGAATTGACAAGATGAATGTAGAAAAGAGGCAATGAAGGAATAAAAAAGTAATTAAATTACCTTTTAGTGTGAGCGCTCTAAATAGTTAATTTAAAAAATTGAACAAATACACACACTGCACTGTAAGATTGAAAGCTGCAGAAATCAGCCTGTCCACCTACATGTCAATAGCGTACATTTAGGATCATATGAAATGAATCTTGGCTGTATGAATGAAGCTGTAAATTGGATCACCGTGATTTTAAATTCTTGACTCTATTCTACAGCAAATTCAGGTTGTTCTTGAGTAAAAATAAAGAGCACTTCTTCTGTACATTCTGTCTAATGTATTATTACTATACTATCATTTATAATTAAAAAAAAAAAAAAAAAATCACCAAGAGGATACTGGTAAATGCAAGCAGGCAGCTCGAACAACCCAGGCCGAAGTTTCTCACATGAGGTAGTGGTAGACGAAAGATGGGGGCCATCCTTGATGTGACCTCAGGTGATGTATGCAACAAAAACCAGGAGGACAAAGGGGGAATAATACAGTGTGGTACTTTATACAACTGGAGAAACAAAGGAGATAAGAGATGCCGTTGCAGGAAATGGAGCGATGTGCTTGAGCGGTACAATACCCGCATAAGGTATCAGTGTTATTTTTAAATGCAATTATTTCATTACTTTATTGTTTTCCAAAGAGTGGGGATTATACAACTCCATGCTGTCTAAAGAAGTTATACATTAGGCTCCAATAAATGTGAGTGCAATTCCTATCTACCTGTTTTACAATGCCAAACTATTACAAACTACTACACACTATAGTGTCCACTTTTTTTCTGACATATAGTGGCAGTACATATGGGTTATGCTTCCAAATTGGGACAAGCATCTTCAAGATAGGTGATTAAGAAAAGTCCCTCCCCTTTCCTCTATAAAGGGCTTTCCACGGCAAACCCACCTCAGTTCTTCCTTGTCCCAGCACGGGACGGATCAAGCATCCATTGAAGGTGAGGCACACAGGTTGCTGTCTGGGGGAAGTAGCCCGATAGCCGCCCAGGTGGTAGGCTAAGCGGCATGGCTCCGTCCATGGAGGTTCCGGAGCCCTTTCTGTTTAACTTTGCGCCGAGTATGTTCCGGCTTGGTAAAAATGGGCGGGCCGTGGGACGCCTTCATTATGTTGCAGGCCTGCGCACAGTGTGCAACGCACGCCCGGGTCGTGTTGCGTTCCACCGAAGTTCCTGGTGCGCTATTGCACATGCGCGAACCTGAACTTCCTGGAAACCGCCGAGTGCGGCTCACTGTGCTGTTCCCTCTGGCCACAGGAAGCTTGTCAGAAGGGTTCCCCGTGTCACCAACCCCCCACACTGTTCTGATTAAAATTGCAAGTTATGGATGGAATTGTTTTGCAGAAAGTAGACTGTATATGCAAAATATTCTGTTTGTACACCGTGGAATGCCTCTGCTATACAAGGCTTTTGCTTATTGTATCTGTACTACTCTTAATATGGTTATTAATATGACCAAGGTCCTGCAATTTCTTGGGTAAAATTAAGCAGAGAATATGCAGTCATTCCTATCTTTGGATTATTATAGAGAATCAAACAGTGTATCAGCTGCTCTGCCTGAGATGTTCCGCAGAGACCGAAGAGAAGTGTCCTTCGATTACTTCTAATGTCTGGTTGAATGTTTATCTACTCAGGGTTGTCAAACATGCGGCCCCCCAGATGTTGCTGAACTACAACTCCCATGATTCCCTGGCTATCTGTTTCATTGAAAGAATCATGGGAGTTGTAGTTCAGCAACATCTGGGGGGCCGCATGTTTGACAACCCTGATTATTCTACCTCTTCTTAAAGGGAAACTCCAGTGCCAGGAAAACAATCCGTTTTCCTGGCACTGCAGGTCCCCTCCCACCTCCCAATCCCCGGTTGCTGAAGGGGTGAAAACCCCTTCAGTCACTTACCAGAGGCAGCGGCATGTCCCATGTCGCTGCTTCTTCTGCCGCTGCCAGCTCCTCTTCGGCATTACGTCGGCTGGTGGGTGAGACTGATCCCGCCCGCCCCACGGCCATGGAGCCCTAATGAATGCTGGGCATGCACATTAGAGCTCCCCATAGGAAAGCATTGAAAATCTGTGCTAGAGACACGGAAGCTGTCTAGTAGACAGCCACTAGAGGTGGAGTTAACCCTGCAAGGTAATTATTGCAGTGTATAAAAAAACTGCAATAATTACACTTGCAGGGTTAAGGGTAGTGGGAGTTGGCACCCAGACCACTCCAATGGGCAGAAGTGGTCTGGGTGCCTGGAGTGTCCCTTTAAGACATAGCTGGTTCATCATACTCTGTGGAGTTGGTTCCCACCTGATGTACTGAGAAATTAGGAATGAATCGGTCATGAGGCAGGATAAATCTGCTAAACTTTAATGAGGGTTATCTGTTCCTCGAACCCTTATGTCTCTCTCATATGCAGAAATGGGAACACTCTGTCTAATGAGCCTTTCTTGCCCGGCATTTATTATGTTTACCATCACCCCAGGTACACTGGGAATCCATAAAATCTACAGAAATAGCTGCTTTAAAAACCCTGTCGTCAAGAAGGCTGAGGCCTCTTGCAGACGATCTCTCCAGACTGCTGGGTTTCGATATGGGTCTTTGCTGGCAGGTGATGTGGTGTCCAAAAACATATAACTTTGTTTACAATCGTTAATGGAGGTTATTTAAGTTTCCTGATAAGCAGCTCATCAGTTTCCTGTTTTATTGTGATTGTCACATACTTTATATGGATTTGACTAATAAAATTTGACAATGACGGCCAAGATCATGGGTTGATCTGCTGTTTCCCTTATATCCTGGTGGCTTAAGCTTGGACAGCAGTTTAGCATCCTTTTCGGTCCCCTGTTTACTCCCATTAGGAAAGAAGATATCTTTTATCACCTATGTCAAAAAAGGAAAAAAGCTCTGCCTCAAGACAAGTAGAACTAGGCCCGACACAAGTAGGTGTTTCGGACACCAAGAAGCTTGGAGGCATAATCCTGCATTTCTTTACCAAGTGTGGATAGCTCAATGGGTTTAGACCTTGTTCAACCCTTGGGGTTAGCAGGTTAATTTCCTCTGCAGGGTTAACTCAGCACTTCATCCCTTTGAGGTAGATGACTGGAGTACCATTCAATGGAGTCACATTCCCAGGTTGAATTTTGGAACCAGTATGTATCTGAATGTCTCTTGCCTGGCTTTTAAGTAGAACCTAGTTGCAATCACTGGTTTCTTGATCTAGTTAAAGAGGGCACCGCTTACTCTTTTCAAATCTGCCCAATCCATAATCTTCCGAACATCTGATTCTCTATTTACAGAAACAGTGTTCCTGTTGTATTCAAGGAGTTTGAGATATGATTC